GCAGCAAAAGCCCACTCCCACACCTGGGGTTCGTAACTGAAATTCAATATTCCTCGTGTCATGTCTATGCATTCTCCATATTAGACCACAAAGGTCTTAAAATCCTATTCACTAGCAGCAATTTCTTGCCACTGCCCACTGATGGTAAACTAGAAGAAAGAACTCTCTATAGCCAACACATCCTCAGGATCTTCCTTCCAACATACACCTGAGTTCTGTAAGACCCAAGATGGAATTTTCACCATTCTCCAGGAGACTGTCAGATCTAAATCTACCATATTTCTAGCTTCACTGGTCCATTTCTAATTTCACTGGCCATAATTATTCTATAGTATGCTGGAGCTTTTTTCTTTGTTGCCCCTTCCCAATGTCCTCTGCAAACCATTATTCTTCTACCTCCCAGTAAAAACCTCTTTTCCTTTGCCATCTTGCCGTACTACACTTCAACTCTCATCACAGCTATTGTCTCCCACGTTAGTCATCACTCTTCCTATTTTACCAATGATTTTGACATCTGGCTTTCAAAAGTCCTCCTCATCCCAAGTCCTGCCTGAACGGTAAGAAAGTTAAGAGGAGAGTCCAAACATAATCAGGCCGCCTGGGTTCAGGTCTTGGTTCTACTATGTACATAGCTGTGTTGCCTCGGTCATGTTCCTTAACTTCCTTTTCTTGAGTTTCCTCATTTATAAAACAGGAACGGTAATAGTAATTCATAATAATTGTTGTATAGATTAAGAGTCAATGCACGTAAAGGATTCTGAATGGTACCTGATATGTAGTAAACCCTCAGTAAACATTAGTTATTGCTCCTATCATCATCATCATCATCATCACCATCAAAGACTACCTCAATGTCCACATGGGTAACTCATTTAACATGTTCTTTCAGCTTTTTGAGTTCTTTGAGCTCCTTGCCTCCAATAAACTTCTTCACCACTCTACCCCAGCAACCCTCTTCTACAGCTCATCCTGATTCTGTCATCAGAACTTCTCTACCTCCAAAATCTTAAATTCAAATATTCCATACTCTGACCACCACCTCCTATCCCTTCAGCACTCAGAACTACCCATTCCTCCTACATCTGTTTCCCATCATGGTAACCTCCAAATGCCAAACTTGTCTACTTCCGTAGCCCCTTCCTATCTTTGCCTCTTTTTGTACTTGCTCATACTATCTCTCATCCACTCTTTTTACAACAACCTCAATTTCCATATCTCATTTTCCTTCTGTACAAACTACCTGGCAAAGATCCTACCTTGGATGAATCAAATTATCAGGCTTTTCTTGACAGAGTTGCTGAAAGCTACTGAGGAGAATCACACAACTGTAAAGATCAGTATCACTGTTATAAATGCATGGTCTCCATCTTCAAGGTTACCCAGCAATCTTTCTATTTCCTTACCTAGTTTGCCATCTTCTGTCCTTCACAATGGCTATTTTAGACCTTTACCCCTCTCCCCAAACCTCTGATTTTCCTGACCATTACCCAATCCCATCTACCTCTACCTCTGTTTCTATTCTTCATAAATGATCTATCACACATAAGAAAAACCAGGAATGAGATGAGAACTACAATTTCCTTCTACCCAACCTATAAACCTTCCTTAACTGTATCCTACCCGATCCTTTCTCTCTGTCACAATGAAGGAGGTATCCTGCTTAAGACTAATATTGTTCTCTGTGCTCAGTATTCTAACCCTCCTGCCCTATAAGGCAGTGGTTCTCAAAGCATGGTCCTGGTAAGCAGCTTCGGCACACTCCAGGAACTTTTTGGAAATGCAAATTCTCAGAACCCACTCCAGACCTACTGAGTCAGAAACTGTGGAGTTGGCACCCAGCAATGTTTTTTATTTCCAGCTCCTCAGAGCAAAAAACAAAGACCAATTTATTTTTAACAAGGCCTCCAAGTGAGTCTGATGCATGCTAAAGTTTGAGAACCACAGCTCTAAGGGATTATTTACTGTTTATCCCTTTTCCCATATCTTTAATCTCCTTTCTTAGTACAATGGTTCTCTTGGCTGAAGAGCCTACTACTTTACTAGGCCATATACAGTTGGCTCTTAAACAATACAGGTTTGAACTGTGCTTGAACTGAACTCCGCTTATAATTTTCTCCTGCCTCTGCCACCTGAGACAGCAAGACCCAACTACTCCTCTTCCTCAGCCTACTCAACGAGAAGACCACAAGGATGCCTGTAAAATGATCCACTTCCACTTAATGAATACTAAATATATTTTCCCTTATGATTTTCTTTCTTTTTTTTTTTTTGAGACAGTGTCTTGCTTTGTCGCCCAGGCTGCAGTACAGTGGCACAATCTCAGTTCACTGCAACCTCCATCTCCTAGGTTCAAGCGATTCTCATGCCTCAGCCTTCAGAGTAGCTGGTATTACAGGTATGTACCACCTCGCCTGGCTAATTTTTGTATTTTTAGGAGAGATGGCGTTTCACCATGTTGGCCAGGCTGGTCTTAAACTCCTGACCTCAAGTGATCCACCTGCCTTGACCTCCCAAAATGCTGAGATTACAAGCATAAGCTGCCATGCCCAGCCCCTTATAATTTTCTTAATAACGTTTTCTTTTCTCTAAACTTTAAGAATAATGAATATAGGCCGGGCGCGGTGGCTCAAGCCTGTAATCCCAGCACTTTGGGAGGCCGAGGCGGGTGGATCACGAGGTCAAGAGATCGAGACCATCCTGGTCAACATGGTGAAACCCCGTCTCTAC